TCCGATTAGTAAATGAAGATTATAATCGACAAGTGTCTATTGTATGAATGACTTCACATTTTCCTTTTACATATACATATAGGTTTATGTATACATCTATATGCATAATATTTAGTCGATATCTAATTCTATCTAAAGTATATTGATCTTATGTATAGAAGGAATTAAGTAGTATAAGAAAGAGTAAATAGATATGAAGGAGAGACAGAAAAAGAGAGAGAGGGAAAGGAAGTGAGTGAGTGAGTGAGTGAGTGAGTGAGTGAGTGAGTGAGTGAGTGAGTGAGTGAGTGAGTGAGTGAGTGAGTGAGTGAGTGAGTGAGTGAGTGAGTGAGTGAGTGAGTGAGTGAGTGAGTGAGTGAGTGAGAACGAATAATATCACCTGTCATATTCTCATTATAAAATATACACTTATATCTATCTATCTATCTGTCTGTCTACATTATGACGTATTTAACTTATAAGTACATTAGAAGTGGATAGGACATATATTACGTAAACCATTAAAGTGCATCACGAGGTAAGTTGTTATGTCTTAATAAGGTGAAGATACGACTAGTATTCTAATTTTACAACTACCTACCAGTAGCATCTTCTATATTTGAAGCTTTCCCCAACCAATCGAAATCAGAAGTCAGATGCGAAGAGGTAGGAAAGATATACTTGATACGTTATCAATATATCGCGAAGCGTTTATTCTAAGCTGGCTAGTGAACGTAGGAGCAGTGTCCCACGCTGAGTTGAAACGTGATCTGGTGCGGATGTATGACCGAAAGCCTTCAGTTAAACAAGTCCACTTAAACAACGTGGTCAGCATCCAATGTCGAACACTTAGAAAGCTATTGATTTTGGGGAATTATTTACAGCTACAAAGGATTATGAATGGTAACTCTTGAGAACTATTTATGGACCGATATGATACATATAACTAAATTATTCATATTCGTGTCCCTTTTATTATAGACTTTATATTGACCCATAGACTGTTACTATACGATTTGCAGTTCTTGAGTTATCCTCAGTCTATTTATTACAGTTTCCTTTATTCACAGCCACATTTGGCTAAATCTTGTACAAATGTTATTTTCTATTTTATGGTGTGATGTGGTCTGTTTTGCTTGGTATATAAACCCAGTATGTTCGAGAATAATGATTCACACCGCAGAGGCTGTTGTTTGATGTTCTGGACTTAAATGGCTAGGCTAGATAGAAAGCATGACCGATAAGTACTCTAGACTACTCGTACGATTTTCGTGTATCATTGGTCCAATCAATAATTCACTGCTTTTTGATTGGCTGTCTTACCACGTTAACAGGGTATCCAGACGGTCACAATTTATAACACAAACCCTAACTTGGAATCTTGAAAGGAAAAAGAAAAGAGGAAGGCTAAAGAATACACTGTGTCGAGAATTGGAAACAGACATCATAAGAATGAATAGGAATTAGAAACAACTGGAAAACATTGCCTAAATTAGAGTTCAATAGAGAATCGTAGTGGGTGACTAATGCTTCTTCATGAAAGGGAACAGTTGTAAGTATGTAATGTAATGATATATTAATCAACATGATGATTATCAGTTTTAATACAAATTTACCGGTTCGGGTATCGAACAAAGATGAGCAAACTATATGTATAATAAAATTATGAAAAAAAATATTTTTCAAAATGGAGATTTGTGGATATCGTAGTAATTTTAACAGTTGAATTCATCAGTCACTTTGAGTTAAACAACTATTGGAAACCTGAAAGCACTGAACGGCCGTTTCGTCCTCTTATGAGACTACTCAGCAATACGCATCCACAATCCCACAACACAAGACTTTCAGTCTTGTTGACGAACGCTTAACCTATAGACCATTCAGCCTGCATCCGCCAATGTTAATGTTTAACTTCAATCGATCTATGATCCTGCACAAACTTTTATTCATTGTCTCATGTGAAGAACTGTTTCACACCCTATAGCGATTGGAATCCATTGGTCATGGCTTCTCACTAGAACCTCAGGAAATTGATCTTGAAGTTAGACACTAATGAGCACATGATGATTATTATCAGATCAGCGATTTGTGTTACTTACTTACGCCTGTTACTCCCAATGGAGCAAAGGCCGCCGATCAGCATTCTCAAACCCACTCTGCCCTCCGCCTTCTTTTCTAGTTCTATCCAACTTTTGTTCATTCTTCTCATATCTGTCTCCATTTCTCGAAGTAATATGTTCTTTGGTTTTCCTCTTTTACTTTGGCCTTCAGGATTCCATGTGAGGGCTTGTCATGTGACGCAGTTGGGTGATTTCCTCAAAGTGTGCACAATCCTCTTCCAGAGCTTCTCTCTGATTTCTTCCTCCAATGGAATCTGCTTTGTTCTTTCCCACAGTAGAATGTTGCTGATAGTGTCTGGCCAACAGATCCGAAGTATCTTGAGTAGACAACTGTTAATAAACACCTGTATCTTCTAGACGATGGATTTCGTGGTTGTTCACGTCTCCGCCTCATACAGTAGAACTGTCTTGACATTCGTATTGAAAATTCTGATTTTCGTGTTGGTTGACAATTGTTTTGAGTTTCAGATGTTCTTTAGTTGTAAATATGCTTCTCTTGCTTTGTCGATTCACGCTTTCACATTTGCATCTGATCCACCGTTTTTGTGTGTGTAGATGTTAAGAATTTGCATGTGAGATCCAAGGACCTGTGTTTAAGTCCCATCTATAAGATTGCGGATATACACTGCTCAACAATCTCATATGACAACTAAATGGTTATCCTATTTTTCTCAGATCTTCAATGCTTATCTCATTTAGATTGAATCATGAATTTAATTATTCTTATCATTTATATCTATTCAACAAATTTTTTTCTAGTTCACATTGATTTACGCTTGAATGAAACATTTAATAGTTTCCTTTTTCTTTTAGTTAATGAATAGAGATGAAAAGAACATTCACACACACACACACATTTCCCCCCCACACACACACAAAGAAAAGAAAAGAAAAGAAAAAAAAGAGAAAAGAAAAGAAAATGGAAATATTAAATCACTATCAATATGATTTGACTTGAATAGAAATGATTGAATAATACAAACGGAACTAATAATGATAATGTTATTTTATTGTTATAAGTAGTTAGTAGTAAGTAGTATAAACAGTAGTAGTATATATATATGTGTGTGTGTGTACGTGTGTGTGTGTGTGTGCCAAAAGAAAAAGAAAAAAAGTTACTTATTCACAAAGTAATAATAATCAGATTGAATAAGAAAAAAAAGAAGAAAAAAGAGAGAGAGAAAAAAAAGAAATTCAATAGGATTACATAATAACATTAAGTTGAACATAATAATAATAATAATAGAAAGGGTGATTAATATAATAGGGAGAGAAAGAAAATGTGATAAATAAATAAACAAACTAAATTAATAAAGAAGAGACTAGCCCCCAAATGCCCTGGTACAGCCGAGAGTGGGGAGAGTTCGCTTTCCCTCTCGAAATGCTATCACATGGCCAGTGAATATATAGCCTCTGTCAGGGAAGTTCTGCTCACTGCCTTCTCGTGGCGGGAGTGCTGTTTATGAAATTAATAGGACGGAAACCGAATATCCGGTGCTTTAAATGTATTGGTGGAAACTGAGAGTCCACCTAGGGGAATCATGAATTTAATTATAAAAATGAATAAAACAATTCCGTTATATTTTCATATAATTCTATATCTCAAATAATACAAAGTTTGATCGAATGAAATAATTCTATAGATAAATTGAGTTAATTTATATAAACACTCAACTTTGTATAATTTATTCACTATAGGTTATAATTCATCTGAAAACAACTCAACAGTTAGATACAGGTATAATTCAATTGAAGAGTCCCAAATAGGACGAACTACACATCATAGATTCCAATGCTAGCCATTACTATCCATTAATTTATTTAAGGTAATGTTATAGTTGAATTTATGGGTTAATTGTAGGTAGACCACTATGGATAACCTGAAAAACTGAACGGTCGTTTCTTACTATTGTGGAACTCCTAAGCAGTGCTCACCAACGATACCGTTTCGTAAAATTGGAACCCAGAACCTATCAGTCTCGCGCGCGAACGCTTAGCCACTAGATCACTAAGCTTGCATCCAACGCTATTAATGTCTAACTTCAGCCGATCCACGAAATTGAGCAACCGTTCACCATTGTATTGTTATTTATTTATTTTATTTAAACACGTAAATATTGGTACAAAGGAGCACCAGATATATATGCGCAACATAAATCTAATTTCATTTGTATGAGGGCTGTCATACCGCCCAGGTGCACAAACGGAAGCAGGTGGTTTTCTTAGGGGACCACAACCGGAGCCTTTGATCTAAAGGTCTGATCCACAAGGTAGTGGAGCATCGTAAGGAGATGCAGTCCCATGGTAGCCTTTGAACAATGATTGATTCAGACACTATTTGTTCCTTCAGGATACAGGTGCCCATGTGCACCATTGGTTTGGAATCTTGGTATTCCAACTCCCCTTAGATGAACTTTCCATGTCCACCAACCCGGTTAAAGCACCAAACATTCAGTATTCGTCCTCTCAATTTCATGAATAACACTTCAGCCACAAGAAGGTAATGAGTAAGACTTCTCTGGTAGAGGTTATATACGCGTGGTCATGTGAGAGCATTTGGAGGGGGGAGAGCGGACTCTCCTCACTCTCGGCCGTACCAGGGCATTTGACGGCCACTATTGTCTTCAGTTATATGATTATGTTGAAAATTATTAAAAAGAGTAATGAAAATAAATGAAAAGTTAAAAACTAAAAGGAGAGATTAGAATAATAGAAAATCTTCATAATTATTGAATATAGAGATTAGGTTAATTAAATAAATCATGAAATCAATTGGGTTATTATTTTAAATTGAACTATCATCACCCATTACATAAATGAATAGAATAGAAAAGTAAACATTAAATAAAACTTTATTATAAATGAATAACATAAACATTGACCTCAATAAAAATTGTTCATTTAAGCTTTGAATTTATAATGAATTACATTAGTATTATTATTATTACTATTACCATTATTACTATTACTATTATTAGTACTATTATTACTATTACTATTATTACTATTACTATTACCATTATTACTATTATTAGTATTACCATTACTATTATTAGTACTATTATTACTATTACCATTATTACTATTACTATTACCATTATTACTATTATTATTATTATTATTAACCTTATCGTTATTATGAAAAGTATTCAATTCTATGAATATATACATAATAGACTTGTAATTAATTAGTTTCCAGGTCATATAACTTTAATAAAGTGAAATTGATATTGTTTCTTAGATAAAAGTAGATATTGATATGAGGGGAAAAAAAAGGATTATTAATAATAATAAACCCATCTATGTTGATAAGGCATGAAATCGTATATAGGGATTGAATAATTGTATAGTGTATTCAGTTTGAACTATTCAAACAATGCGGATGATATTGTCTTACTGTGCGATAATGCCCAAGGCATGCAATCAGCACTTAATCAGTTGGCAATCAGTGTCCGCAGGTACGGTATGTGCTTTTCACCCTCCAAGTGCAAAGTACTCCTACAACACTGGCAGGATTCTAATCCTGTACTCACCCTGGATGGTGAGGAGATCGAAGTAGTTGAGAAGTTCGTGTATCTAGGTAGCTATATAAGTGCTGGTGGTGGCGTGAGTGATGAGATTGATGCACGTATAATGAAAGCCAGAGCGGCTTATGCCAATCTGGGCCATCTTTGGCGCCTTCGTGATGTTAGTCTAGCTGTAAAAGGTCGGATTAAATGTTACTCAATCATACAGATTTCTTAATTATAGTTGTGTATGTATTCATTGTGCACACCATGTTAGTAATATAGAGGTTCGGCATTGTGTATTCGGGCGCAGAGGCGATAATTCAGTTGGTGTCACCATCTTGAAACATCGACTTCGGTGGCTTCGACATGTTCTACGAATGTCGTCCCAGAGACTTCCACGTCGTGCATTTTTTGCCGACTCTGGGACTAGTTGTAAAAAGCGGAGAGGTGGTCAGTGTGTGACATGGTGTCGTGGTATGAAAGAAAGCTGCAAAGGGCTAGCTTTTTTTGGCCCTTTACAACTCCCTGGTTGGGGTCCGAGAGATGGTGCAACACAGTGGCTAGAGACGTTATCAGATATGGTTCAGAATGGAAGCCAGTGGCGATCCTGCTGCAACCTTCTTTTACTTTCTACATAAAGAATGGTTCTAACTTTCTTAACTGAAAGAGTCTTCTGGTTGTACATTTCAGTCCGCCTTATCTTTTCATCCCTTCTCTTCCTACTTTCATTATTTTGTGTGGCGCATATGTACCTGGTGCCCTTTTGTACCAATATATATGTGTTTAAATAAATAAATAAATTAAATTCAACAATGTATAATTATCATTCTATACAAAATTGAATCAAGGATCTTTAAGCAAAGATGGATAGTGGCTAGCAGTGGAATCTAGGACGCGCATTTCGTCCTATTTGGACCTCGTCAGCTGGATATACCTGCATTTCAGAGTTGATGTTCACTCTATATAAAGGTAATACGCACAGTATGCAAATATGCCAATTACAGACTAACTAGTTGCAGTCCTAACGCATCGATGGGAAGATTTAAAAAAAAAAAAACAATACTAAGTGAATTTAAATTTCACCCCATTGAACAAGCAAGTGGCTAACAGGACTCAGTGGCCGAGTGGATAACGCGATGAAGTTTGAAGCCAACGGTACTTGGTTCAAGTCCCAGAGTGAACATCAACTCAGATGTAGTAGGTACATCCAGCTGACGAGTCTCAAATAGGACAAAACGTGCATCCTAGATTCTACTGCTGACCACTATCCATCTTTGCTTACAATGCTTGTGAATTAAGGCTATATCGACCTAATACGCACCGTATGTACATATGCCAATTACAGATTAACCAGTTGCAGTCCTAAAAACATTAATAGGAAGTATTCAAACAAACAATACTAAGGGAATATAATTTGTATCCCATGAAATGAATGCCAAAAAAAACGAAAAAAGAAAAAGGAAAAAGAGAAAAATAGAAAAAAAAAACTGTAATTAAGTAATGAAGCATAAATAATGAACGTGATATTTATAACTAATACATTTATAATAAATTTTCAAAACGAATCTTATAATTACATTACATTATAGAATAAGGTAAGGTAAGGTAAGGTAAACTAAACAACAAACTAGAATAATCTTAGAATAATAATGAGTTAGAAATTAATATTAAGAGTAAAGAGAGAGAGAGGGGGGGGAGAGTATGCCGAAATGGGAAATACATGTGTGTGTACGGGTGTATGGGTGTGTGTGTGTGTGTGTGAAATATAATAAACATAACATGATAGAAAAAAAAGAATATTGATTCAGGAAATTTAAAAAAAAAGTAAATTACCTTGTATTGAATACCTTTTAGTAATATTTTAGACAGCGAAATTACATTTAATCACGTATGTATTCAACAACTATAGAAGAAGAGATAGAGAGCGAGAGAAAATTATACAAAGATTCATTCATGAGTAAACATTTATAGAGTAGATAGGACGAGAACTCGATGCTTTCAACATGATATGATCGCCGGTTCCATTTGCATACATATATCTGTAGCCCCCTAGCACCATTATTTATATGTTTCAATAAAATATATATAGTAGATCAATAACAACATCTATAGATATATATGACGTAAGTTGAATGATTGTACAAGTACATTACACGTAGATAATTATTTACGCCTATTACTCCTCGTCAAAAAGTATAGGATGCCCACAAGCTAGTCAGTCAGTCAGTTATAACTAAAGATGTGGCACATATATGCATCGATCCAAGTTGCCATATCTTATTAGCACAATAAGATGAACATCAAATTCATAAAATTAGTTACTTCATTGGTAGTAATATATAAAAGAAAGATTGTATATAAGGATATAGTACACAGAGAAAGAATTAGTTAGTAGAAAGGAAGATATAAAGCAATTTTAGGCGAGACTATAATTAATGGATGAGCTAATCAGAAGCGTTTGAAGGGTTTCAAGGTAACGGCGCCAATTCCAGTCACCTGATGCTCACATACGATCGGTTCACAGCAGATTTTAGAGAAAACGTGACAATTTGGAGTCTATAATAAATGGGACTACGAAAGCGTTTCTTTATTTGTGATTGCGGTAATCTAATGAATTATAGAACCTGTGCAGACTTTCGTTATGATGTCTTTCGATGTAATATGTGTTGGATGAAGAAGTATGCTAAAATAGGAACTTATTCTGTCTGTTCAAATTGAGATTAAGGCAAATTATCAAAATTGCTGCGAATTGTGTAATAAAAACACCAGTAGCATCGGCTGAAATATTAGCAGATGTTACTGATGCTTCGGCTGTTCAGTGGTATGAGTATTGTAGAGATATATGCGTAATAAAAATGACAAGTTTATACAGCCAGAGTACATACAAACAATATTGAAGCTATGTGGTAGAGGTCGGAAGAGTATTTGCGACCTTATCATGGCTCAAGAGATTGAATATTATGGAGTTCCTCTGTCGTATGTGTTACGATTTTAGAACCTTTGAACCTATTTCTAACCCTGACAAGTTTTCGGACCATGTAAAAGAAGTTTATCCAATTCGAATCTTTGGTTTTGTATGATATATTTTCATTCCATACTAACTGTTTCCTGATTGGCTAGTGTTTCTCAAGGTCATTTAAGAATCGTTCGAAGGTCGTCCATAAACTATAGCCCGCCCAATTTTAATCTCACTGTTCAAAGGAAGACAGAGAGTGTATACATCTATGTCATTATGATCTATTCTGAGCCATGTCACCTAGAGTCTCCAACCATTGATTACGATAGTCACGCGGACTCCAACCAAGTAGTTTGTATGTAAAAAGATGGCTCAGACTAGAAGTTAATGACTTCAAAGATTAATGCCACGATTCGGTTTAGCCATCAACCAGTATTCTTCATCGAACTCTATCCTAAACAATCTTTTCTAGTTGTTTCTAGTAAATTGTCAATTCAATATAAATAAACAATTTTACAGAATAAAGTCTTTCTCTACTAAACTGTTTATCGGTTAAGGGCTTCGGCTCGAAACTGGTAGGTCCTGGGTTCGAATCCCGCGAGAGTGGGTTCGTGGATGTGCACTGCTGAGGAGTCCCATAATAAGACGAAACGGCCGTCCAGTGCTTCCAGGTTTTCGATGGTGGTCTAGCTTCAATTGACTCATGACTTCAACTTTGAAATAAACTGTTTATTTTAATAAAGGCAAAGTTTCAGTTATATGAATTGAGAACAAATCTATAATAATGCTGAATGAAAAAAAAGAAAACATATTAAACTGAATAGTTAATATGAGAAGTTTTCATTGTCTTTCTAAACAATTTAATCAACATATACTCTATATTACAGAGTTGAAATCATGAGTCAATTGATGCTAAACCATCATGGAAAACCTTGGAGAACTGGACGGCCGTTTCGTCCTATTATGGGACTCCTCAGCATGCGCATCCACGATCCCACACTCGTGAGATTCGAACCCAGGACCTACCAGTCTCGCGCTAGAGCACTTAACTGATAGACCACTGAGCCGGCTTCCAGGTTTTTCATGGTGGTCTAGCTTCAAATGACTCATAATCTCAACTCTAGAAAAATTACTAAAATCTCTATAAAACCCCTTCTGAAATACTCTATATCTTTATAGTTTGAAAGAATGTTGTCTCATTGTTTAACAGAATGAGATATATTGATTAGTAATGGTCGAATCCTGTCGATGAAATCTAACCACTAGTGTAAGTTACTTGACATAGTAATGCATTATAAATTGATGTTGAGTGTTTGGAAATAGTTGATAAGAAATACTGAACTTAGATTTCATGTTAGTTGCTACTCGACCATAAGGTGTATCTGGAATCTTTTAGAACTATTTCTATTTTATGGATTCGAACTAGCTTAATGGATGTTTCTGAATGTATTAATGAAGATATTTTGTAGTACGTACAGTTCGAATATGTTTTTCGATCAAATATTAAGAATGGTTACAGAACAAAGAGTCATTGGACAACCATTTAATTATGGATTAATACACGTCAGTAGTTCGTATTCCGCCCCCAAAATGCCCTGGTACGGCTGACAGTGGGGAGAATTCGCTCTCCCTCTCGAAATGCTCTCACATGGCCACGCGTATACAGTCTCCGACAGGGAAGTCCTACTCACTACCTTCTCGTGGCA